TGAGCTTGTGTGATTGAATGCCAAAACGCTGATTGAAAGAAGAGAGAGAGTGATATATGGTGAGAGGCAACACCGCTCATCTTTTCTCCTTCCCCCTATTTTTTTCTCCGCTGTTCTCATCTGCTCGTTCCCCGTGTTCCGTCACCCATACATCTCCATCATCCATACATCAAAATGTGCATTCAATTATTATTGCTATTATCACAATCTATCAAATCAGTTATGCTTCCTCTAAGAATTACTTATCAGACAGCTGCATTCAATTCTTCTCTTACAAAATCTCTCTTTTTTTTAACCATGTCTACGTTAGAGATGCAGATTTATGGTAGTGCAGATTTGATCTTTCATTCTGCAAAGCATAGGGTATTATTAACGGACTTTTAACAGTGAACTCCGATTTTGTTCATTCATTTTTTTAAGCAGATTATCAGCAGTCACCTCGTCAAACCATTGAACTGCACTTAGATTAGGAGACTGGTATATGTATTCAAGTGTGACCCCATCCTGTTGTCCTCAGGGCTTCTAATGCTGCTTTTTGCCGCTAATTGAAGGAGACAGCAAAGACGGGGCCACAGTAGAACAGATTTAAATGGAGAAGTGCCCTGCGTATGAACAATGCAGGCTCAAACATCCAGTCTGCCTTTTGCACTTTTTCTGCTGCGGGGTCCGCAGGGAGATCACCATAGATTGGTTGGTTGGGTAGTTTTCTCCCTCTACATGCCCAAGCCAAAAGTATGATTAAATTGTCAGTGTATCGACAGAGTGATAGGGGGGTTCAAAAAGACAAAAAGAGGAATGATAAAGTAGAACGGAAAAGGATAGCTACTAAGGGAGAAAGAAAGAAATGGATGACCATGCCGCCTTTCGAATGACAGTGAAATATTCCTCCTTTCATCCTCCCATCATGCTTCATGTGTGTGCCTGATGGGGAGAGAATGACAGGCCAGCCTACCACCACACCTCTCTCTTTAGTTTTTTAGTCTGCCGTTCTCTCGTTTTTCTCTTCTGTCACTCATGTGTATGCTCGCTGACTTTTGGGAAAATACCAGCAAATGCAGACTCAAAACTTCCATTTTTACTTCCTTCAACTTTTTCCGCCAACTAAACAAGTTGTTTGTTTCTAATTTAGGAGCGTTTATAACATCCATGTTAAGAAAATGTACATTTATAGGTGTTAATATTTCACTACACGTGCCCGCAAACGTGTCAGTGCATGCACACAGTACGGTGCACGTTCAACACTGTGTATCTCGCAGCAAAGGGAAGTTTCTAAAATATCACTGAATCTTGACACAAAATTTATCAAATTAATATTATAGACTTTGAGTGTCCCCTCCTAACTGAATAATTACTTTTTAACAGAATTGTACACAAATGAACCAAGTCAAAATGTCCAAAGCTTTTTATCACATAAGGGAATTGGATCAGCTTTGTTGTGATGGGGCATCATCGGAAGGCAGCACAAGCTCTTTTCAATGTATTGTATCTTTATATTCTCAAACAGCGCCCATTAGGTATCTTAAACACTGGAAACTTTGCAAAGCAATGCCATGGCAAAACCTATTTGTTTGTCAAAAAGTCTATGCAAATGAATTAGTAACATTTTAAAGAATTATCGAAATTAGAGAAAAGTATCAACATTTTTCTGGCCCCCCAAGATCGGCATTCCTTTGCGCAGCTGATCCGGTTCTTTCTTAACCTCCACCTCCAATTCATTTTCCCTTTATCTCTGCCTTCCTTCACCATTCAGCCCACCTCCCCACACACACACACACACACACACACACACACTTTCCCTTACCTTCTCTACACGCCCCTCCCTCATGAAGCTGTCACCTTTCTGCACCCGCTCAGTCCCTATTAAGGCCGACAGCCCATCTGCCGCCTGCCCCGCTAACAGCTCCCGTCGCTAACGCTAACGTGCACACACATCCTCATCCTCTGACACACACAGGCCCACATCCAGCTCCACCTGCCCTGATGCACATGTAGTCACGCACAGAGCAACATAGTCGCACACACTGGAACATGGTAGTGCCTACCGTGTGCCCCATTTATAAGTTCTCACAGAAGTACTTGCAAGTACACATTTTAAGATTAATTTATTTTAATTAATGCTCGCATTCACTTATATGTGGCCAGCCATTCACACTGGCACTATGTCTATGACTCCACTTAAACCAATGAACTGAATCGGTTTGCTCCTTTTCACCATCATGTAAGCTGATTTGCCACCTAGACCGTTTGTTGTTCGGTCTACCATCAACATACCATGCATATACGTCAACTCCACATATTTAGGGATACACATTGTCTGGCGACTGTAACACATCACATTGCCCTGACTAGAGGGGTAATTAGGTAGGGCAATTGCAGCTTCCTGTGCGTTTGTGTGTGCGCTGTGGCATTTGCTCCCTTCAGGGATAGGTGCGTTTTGCATTAGCAAGAATGGCAACTGTCTCATCAATCACTGCATCACCATGTCACAGAGGCACACACACTCACACACACACACACACACACACACACACACACACAGGTTCTCACACACACATTGTGTCTTGGTCATTCTGTTCACAGATGGGCCAGCAACACATGAGCGAGTCACTGAGCATCAGAGAGACAACCACAATCTCCCTATCTTTACATGCGCACTCATCTCAACACATCCACGCTGTGTGTGCTTCTGCTGCTCACTTGTACTGACAGAAGCGTGAAATAGGTTAGGTATCATCACAAAGGTTAATACTATGTCTTCACTTTATAGGAGTACATAAGTATTTAATATTAATCTTAGACATTAATTTAATGTGTGAGATTTCCATTTTCCACTCCACACATTCTCTCATACATTGTAAAAAATTGCACTTAATACCACATTTTAGACGATTGTCTGCTCGTGTTAAGATGCCTTTTAGCCTAATTTCAAGCCTTCAGAATTAACAAAAACCTGAAAAATCTCGGATTACTTTGCCATAAGTTATGACGCATTAAAACAGAATGTCTCTTCATAATCCGCAATAGTTTTAGGTTAATACAAGTGGCCGACGGAGGTTTTATCCATGAAACTGAAATATTGTAATTGTTTTCTCAGAGCTTTGTCTTATTTTTAATGTCAGGACTCCTGGAAGTTGGAATATGAAATGACTTTTTCACTCGTTTTTATCCTCTTTATTCCTCTCTGAGTATGTTATGTTGGCCCATGAGCAAACACAGTTCATTTAACAGTGTATATGCAATTTGTAAAGTAGGAAAGCAAATTCAGACCAGCACAATCACGTGTTAGTGGATGTACGTTAGTATGGTGTGACACCAGGACACTCCCCCTTAGAAATAAAAAAATAAAAAGCAGCAGTATTAAGTGTTGCCTGTCTATATAGCATTGTGACACCACAACCAAAGCCAATAAGTGTCTGAAGCAGCAGCAGCAGCAGCAGAAAGATATTGATTTCTCCTATTCACCAGAGTGGAACTAAAACCTACATATTACACACTCTGGCCCTCTAGCTCTCACTGCGCCAACCCAGCTCTGTTGGTGGATGGAGGATGGCTGTCAGACAAGTCATTGGTCTGCTTACCTGTCTGTCTACTTAGCCTTGCTTAAACAAGAGCCCACACTGGGAAAGTATCACACAGTTAGGCACACGCTAAAGTCCACAGGGCTGTTGTTTAAATAGTAAACACATACCAACATCTCATCGTGTTTACTGATACATTATGTTGTTTGAAACAAGAACATATGAACGCAAAGCCAAAGCGAGCCAAAGCAAAACGATGTGGTCAGTTTACCTGTATTAAGTCCACAACATACAATCATTTGCTGTGTTTGCTATGAGAAGTTTTGCTGATGTCTGTCCAGGATTGTAGAATAGTTAGAGAATTTGATAATTTCATATAATTTTGAAAGGATTTTTCCCTTTTTACTGCCTTTTTATTTCAGGGACAAAGGAGACATATTGCGCGCAAACTAAGCTCTCTCTAGTTTCCCCTAATAGTTTTTGTTTAAATGTAGAGAACACATCATGTCATCACCAGCCTTCTGTCTCTCATTTCTCGCCTCTTTCTCAAGACGGTCCTCTTTTAGTCATGCCGTATAATTTAATTACCGTTTCTTTTTTTTCTTTTTTTTTGCAACAGATCATTTTTATTCTGTTGCCCACTGTGACCTTATCACCTCAGCAACAGCTCTTTGCCCTGACATTGGTGTCAGGGTTGATTGACGGATGACAGTCCCTCCTCGGGTGCCTTTACTATTTTACTCCCTCTTTCTGAAAGCCTTTTCAAAGTCTAAAACTAGTAAAAGTCCTCTGACGTTCAACACAGCTGGACGCAGCTTCAATTAGCATCCTGACGCATCCACAAGATGTTGCAGATGCGCACAAGCAGATGTACTCTATTTGGGTGTGTTAACTCATTCCAAGACCAAAGCTTTCCTGGTTTGAAATTACAACCTGTCCTCTGTGCGCCTGTTTGAAGGCTGTCTGCCCTTTTGCCTGTTGGTTGTGCTCAGCATGTCAGGCTTTGTCTGTCTTGTGTCGTACTGTGTTAATTTGTTTTATTTTTCTTACATGGTGTGCATGCCTCTCTGTCCAAACTGAGCTGGAACAGTATTTGTATGACAGCCATATTCTTACGTGTACTAACGCAAAACAAATTAGAAAAAAAAGGAAGCCTTGAAGTCACCGTGTGCCTGCTGTGTACATTGAATACATTTCATCAGCATTAAGAATTTTCATCTATTCAATATTTTCTTTATCTCATGTGCGATATAAATCCCTGAATGTATCTTAAGTGAAAAAGCAATTCTCAACATGAAACATAATTAATATTGATTGAATCTGTGTGAACTTAGTGTTTTTGTTTGTAGTAGTTTATTAATGTTTAGACATCCTCAAAGGAAGCACAGAGAAGCTTCACTTTCCCAAGTGATTTTTTTTCTCTTTCATTGGCTTTATTTTCACTTCCATCCCTCCTTCTCTCACTTCGCTCGGGCCTACAGAATGAACTTATCTAAGGGGCCATTGGTGAACAGCAGCAGTGAAGATAACTCCAAGTCAGCTTATGGTAAATGTGGCGCTGGCGCCTGGAGGATGCACCAGAGCTACGATCCGCTAGAGGCCAACCACATGAGAGACGCACATGCCCTCTACAACCCCAGGTAGGGGACACCTGCGAAAGGGGCAATGAATTATTTTATGTTCTTTTTCAGAAGCAGAATACCTGTAAAGCTCAAATCAGAGTAAAAAATCAACACAGAAAAACCTGTTTCTTACTGGTTAGTTCATATTAGAAATATTGTCGAGAGAAAGACTCTTCTAATGTGATTTTTTTTTCACTTTCTCCTATCATCGTGTGTTAATTATCTTTAATCTGTACTTTTTATCCCCATTCCTAGTCGCAGTCGACACATTTTATTAGATTATCTCTTAAAAGGAACTGTTTGTATTTGTGTTACAAATGTGCAAGAGGCAACAGCTATGCCAGAATTTTCTTGTGCGTTGTCTTCCAAACCAGTGTATTCTTAACAATAATGCTATGATGTTTCCTAATTATAAAAAACATTAGTAAATACTATATATCAGCGACAGTTTTGAATCAAATTTGACATTTTTATTCTATTCATGGTTAAAAAATCAGTTAAAAGAAAGAGAGGTCAGTATAAATTAAATAAGTGATAGAGGTTTTGTTTTTCAAAAAACCCGCTATTTGCAGTTTTTGAGCATGAGTGTGTACATCTATTGTATGTAATAGAGATACAGCTATTTTTGGCTTGAATTATTATTAACATGTTATACTCACTATACCTTTCATCTTAAAAGCATCTTGGCAAAGCAATTTTGTTCAGCATAGCAAGGTACTCAGATTTCAGTTCTGCTGCCTTAATGCTGAACAGGACCAGCTAAAATTAAAAAAGGAAAGAATTGAATGTTTTTTAGCCAGTAAACTCGCTTTTTTTTTTCTTTACCTGCAATGCTATAATATATCACAAGTATGTCCCAAGAAATTTGAATTTAACTTTTCACTCAAGGACACCTCGGTGATGAAAACTCATCACAGTGCAGAGGCTGTAATTGACTTGGTTGCAGGGAATTTCTTTTAGCACGGCCATTTGCATGTGCCAGAAACATGAACTGTTACGCTTAAGTTATCCAATGGAACTGGTTCTTGTTTTGTGTTTTTAGGAGGCGGGGTTAACGAGCCTTACCTTGTTCCATTTTTAGAATGGTAAATAAGTTGCATGTTTTGCGTTAAAACACAGGAAATGTACGATGTGTGAATAACTGGCCCACATTCTCTCTCTTCCTATTTTTCCTCATTTTCTACGGCTTTTTACATCTATCTTTTTTAATGGATTAAATGTTTTAAAATAAGCAGTAGCAACACAAACCTCAGCCATACCTCTAAACTTCTTACGGAGATAACATTTACACCAGATTTTAGTTCTTAGAATTGTTCTTAAAATGTTGTGTGATGTTTACTTCTAAGAATGCTATAATAATTTATTGTCATTGTTGTGTCGGTGTTGCAAAGCTGATGAGAAGATTACTTATCAGGCTTTCGAAAAGCTCATATAATTTTGAGCATTTGTATGTGTATTCTTATTTGTAACACAGACAGGGAAATCTTTGTCCAATAGGCTTTTAGGGTTAGTCGGGGTCAAGCCAATTAGAAGTCTGGTAAGCTATTCTCACGCAGACCCTCATCCAATCGGAAAGATGCAATCGTCCCACAATGTCAGTGTGTGTGAAGGTGCGTGTGTTTTTTGGCAGACAGTTATCATGAGAGGTGTAAAGGTTTGCCGAGAGCAAGGGAGTCACGCCAAGGCTTGAGGTCACACAATGCTTTCACATGTACGCACACACAGCCATGCAGGCAGACACACACTGCACCTTTGCTCCCTCAAGTTTTGGACCAAACTAAAGCATCTGAAGTCGGGTGTGTGTACAATATCCCAAGCAATGCCGACAGGATGATAAAGATCACAAAGTTTAGATTTTATCTCATAACTCAGAAATGTGTAATGTTGTTAATCATAACAAAAGCATGCATTTTCCCCCTCACTTTCTCTCTTTCTCACACACACACTGTAGAAGGAGCCCAGTTTTGTACACACATCTGTGGTATAAGATCACATGAGCACTTCCGCAGGATATCTGACCTCCAACTGTGTTGATGGGATTTGGTCACGATTATATACTCACTCTCTCTTTCTCATGCGGACTCTCTCTCTCACCCACACACACACAAACAGACTGACACATACTGAAATGGGGAAATACATCCGTTTTAACTTTGTAATTAAACAACGTATTTGTAGTTGTTGGCTTAATTCAGAAATTAAATGCAAATTCTGGTATTCTTAAACTAGTGTTAAAAACCGCCAAAAAGATGTGACCTCTTAAATGAAACAACAAAAGGTACTTATTCACTTAGTTTTAAAGAGCATTTTCTAACTTCTCTGAACAATGAGGAAATCCTTATTGTGTTTCTGGAAATCTGCAGTTTTCACAGGACATCTACAATTATATTCCTTGCGTTTTTATTTAGGCCATCAAATGATGGGAATGTGATTAATGTCAAGCAGCTAAGTTGTGCATGAATAAACACACACACACACTCGCAGACTTTGTTGTAAACTGAGCCCAATGTAATCATAATGATAAAGCAGATTGCCTTAACACACAGATGGGCCTCCCAGCAGCTCGTGTGTAAGTGTTTGTGTGTGCGTGTGTGTCAGTGTGGACAACGCTGATTGGATTGCAGATTTATAGAAGAGGATTACTGCAGGAGCAGAGAGAGAGAGCGAGAGAGAAACGGGGAGAGGGTTTCAGACACTCACCTTTCATTAACTTCCACCCCCTTCACCTCAGATCCCCTTATTCTCAATCACGGAGGAACACACATAAACACAAATAAAGACACTCACAATTGATTTCTGATAAAGAATAGGATGTTTTGTTCTGTAAAGAAGAAAAGCATTTAACTTCTTGTATATAGATTAAATGAAAAGTAGTTTTAATCATTTGGAAAACTTCAGAAGAAATATATATATATATATATATAGTTATGTTATATCATCATTCTTTCTTGTATGTAATAATAAACCGCATTTTTCATGTCAGAATAGGAATGACATGAATATGCTGTAGATGTGTCAAGTCCAAAAAACTGAGGACTGACCTGTCGGAATAGATGAAAGGAAGATGAGAAAAATGAAAAAAGTTACAGATGATGGCCAAAGACAGAATATGAAATAGATGGGAACGAAAGCAGGCAAGGAAACAGAGATGGGCAGGGACAGTGGGCACTCCAGCAAACCTGATTATGACTGGATGTGAATTAGATTCCCTAACAGATGGTCCAGGAGCGAGGCTGTAAGGTGCATCAGCCAGCAGTGAGAGGATGGGAGGGGGACGGAGGGCATGTGGGGAAGAGAAGGAAGAGCAGAAAGATCAGATGAAGAAGCTGCAGAGAAGAGTGTCAGCCGCAGCTTGTGGCTCAGTCATTATGTGCAAACATAAAAGTGTTTTGATGTTGGGCTAAAGTTTGCTTTTACATTATTAATAATGATATATTTGAGCACTCCAGCTGTTGATGCATACACACACACATAGATGTATATATGTGTGTGCGTGTATGTAGATTGTCAAATGCGATCTACCAGTTTTTGCATCATATGTAGAATATAGAATCCATTTTCATAGCAGCTTTGTATTATTGCACATACACTGCCTCTGCTTGCCCTCTCTGTGATGGATAGGTATAAATCGTCACAATCCTGTACTGACAGCCCAATTTTCCCAAATCTGATCTGCTTAAAGAATGCAGCTTTGACGCTGTACTCACTGTCGCTTTTCCTTTTCTAGTCCACACTTTTTTTCTCACGTTTCGTTTCCCTCTTGTATTCCACTTTTCCCCTCTCATTCCCTCAGATGCTCCACCATTTAGCTTCACCACTTAATCCTCTGTCTTTTTTTCCCTATTTCCTCCTTGTCTCTCCCTCCTCTTTCCCTCCCCTCGCTCTACCTCTTCCCCCTGTGTCACATTTGAAAGCTCTGTCATATTTACTGGGGTGGAAATCCTCTTTCACCATCTGCTTAATAAAATGTGCTTTTAATCCGAGGGGGGGGGTTTTGTTTTTGAACTGTGTTATTTTACTACTTCAGAGTTTCATTCAATTCAGGACAAACGGCACACATCACTTTAGACAAACTTTTGCGTTTGTAAATGTGTGTGTTAGGATGTGTGTCCCAATGCATGTTTGTCGACAAATATAGCAAGTATCAGCAAAGCTAATATCAAGCAACAACACAGTTAATCAAAAGTCACACTCGTCCACACACCTAGAAAAAAAGAAGAAAAAAATGAAAAAATTACCTTTAAAAAGGAGCCTATTATATAGCCTGTACCCCACACACACACATTTCCCACTGATATTATGTCAATAAGCTGAATTACAAGTAATCTGTGTAATCTTTTCTTTAATTTATTATTCAAAAATATATATTGTTGTTGAAGGATTTCTTGCTTTCCAGATTGACTACCTTCCATTACTGTTTTACCAACCAGGAGGATTCATAAAGTAATTTAATTGATATGAACTCCTCAGTGTTTCCAGTAAAATGCCAGAGGTCAAAGTTTATTTGTATTCATTTTTGCATTTGTTCATTTAAAAAAAATAATTTAAAAAAAATGTCCCTGATATATGTCAGATGGTTTGCGTCCACTGATAAAGTTGTGCACTGGATGAGTTTAGCTGTTTGGGATTTGAAGCACTGTTCATACACCAGAACAGCACCCTTACACAGACAATGACATACAGCAGATAAAAGAGGCTGAAAGAGGGAAAGAGAGGTAAGAGAGACATGGTGACAAAGATAGTGCCTGGCAGCAACACACTTATCAGCTACCGCTCCACAAGAAAATGACCTAAATAATCAAGATTTCCATCGGAAACACACACATACACACTAGAAAATGTCTTGCATTTTAGCCCAGAACCTATTCACCTTTAACACTTGTTTTCACTTAAATAACTACACTGCAAGCCATGGTTCATTTTAAAGAAGGGTTACACAGTACTTGAAAAGGAAAAATATGGAGAAAAGAGGACGGCTCTTAAAAATTTCATTTAAAAGTACTGTGACAATCAAAGACACATGAGAACTATTAGTATCACCAGAGTTAACATAATGTTCCTTAAAGGGCTTCAATCTTAAAAGCGCAACATTTTAATCGATACAGTAGAGATCGCCCCGCATACATAGTCTCCCACCGTCACACCCTGAATGACTGTATATCTACGCAAAAACTAGATAAACCACATGATGCATCATAACACCCACAGCAGCATGGCCAAGTGTAACATAAGTGTAACTGCATGTGTGTGTTAGTGAATTGTTTGTGGTTGGTGAATCTGTCAGTAACATGAAGATTCATACCTACTGGGGAACCACTTACAGTGCCTAAACACAGACACACCACCACATGAACAGGAATATAGACACAAACGCACATTTTCTCTCCTCCAAGTCTTTACAGCCCCACAGCCCATTGGGCAGAATTTGTTTTAGCCATTATCACATTGATTGTATGTAATCAGGGGTTTATTCTGCAGCCAATGAAGTGAATTACAGGTTTCCTGCCCGACTAACACTGTAACAATTGATCTGCTCCCTGGTGTGTGTGCGCGTGTGGGTTTGTGTTTATGTTGGGTGTGAGTGAAGAGGTGTATATGCACCAATAGATGTTTGTGTGTGAGAGGTAGAAACTAAGACGGTAAGGGATTGAGGCCCATAGAGCAAAGGAAGGAGAAGGTGAGGGAGAGCACAGTCGGAGGGAAAGTGGTTTGAATTGACTTCCCAGTTGGAGTTTTTTTTTCTTGTTTAATTCATTTTCTGTCTGAAAACAACCATAATCATCAACTGTCCGTGGTGCTGAGAAGCTTAACTCAGCTACACACAGAAAAACACACACCAGTTCCTCACGGAAATACATAATGCTCCTCTTTACCTCTATAAAACGAGACAGCCACCACACGTTCTGGAAACATTGACCCAGAAATTGCAAGAAATAACTTACAACATAATTTGGTGTGTTCACATCTGCTCTAAATTCAGCCACCAGAAAACGGTGTGCTCTTGTTGTAATTGTTTTACAGCACCAAGGGTAGCCTGCTCCTCTGAATTGATGCGTGCCACTGAGCAAGTCAAGCTTACATGTGTTTTTTCACTCACTCAGTGCTATATCAAACTAACAAGCTGACAAGCAGTTCAACAACCCTCCACAGATAGGAGACTGCTTTAAATTGAGAGAAGTAGAGCAAAGAATAAAAATAAAAAACAGAAATGTCAGGGCAAAAAGCAATTCAGGCTATTGATGAAATCTTCTATTCTTTTGATTATGGAAATATAAATGCATTTTGCTCTTTTCCCCCCATAACTCCTTTCTTTAATTCAAAGCAGTTTCTTTTATGTGTTCCATGCTTCTTTCACTGTCTCTCCTTCCCAAAGCACAACCAGAACCATCTAGATAGAATTGTGTAAGGTTTTCTCTTTTTCTTTTTTCCTTTTTGCTTATTGGACTGTGTTCTTATCAGTATTGAGAGCACAATGCTTGGTGTGATGGAAAGTATTAGCCAACCCATGGTAGCTACATTGTCAGCACTTCTACTCTCTCTCTCTCCATCATCATCCCTCCTGCTTCCCCTATTTTTTCAGTCCTGTTCTGTTTTTCTTACGTCATTTTAAATACATATAAATAAATTATATAGTGTACGCAATATGTATATGCGTGTGCTTATATATGTGTATGTGTACATGAAGAGAGAGAAAGAGGCAATAAGCATTTACTATAAACCTCTCATCTCAGATCCACACGTTGTGAAAAAGTACTTTGGAGTTATTTGAGGATCAGTCTGTGTTTATGGGTGCCATCTAGCGAGGCAGTTGTACAAAGATTGTATATAATAAAAGATTGTGAGTGCACACAGACTGAAAGAGCAGTCCAGACAGCCAGAGTGAGGCTGTGTCATTGCTTTAATATGATGATTGTATGTTTGTCCTGGCCAGTTGTTGGGCAAGTGCTTCAGTCAACTAATCTAATGACAGCTTTTGATAGTTTCTCTCTTTCTTTCTTTCTTTCTCCTCTTTCCCTCCACGTATGATGTCCAAGAGATTCATTATTAGGACCTAACTATACCTATTACATGCCAGTCACTGTTATGTATCTGTTGTGCCATGCCTTCATATGTAATTTACATGTTACTTTTTTTTACATGGCAGTCATGACCTGAGAAAAACTTGTCCACACATGAGTTATACAGTGTTAAATGTACAGGATAATACATGTAAAATTATATATAAATATTTAAACTTCTTAAGGAGGTACAAATGTTGTGTTATGCCCAACAATAACAATTCACCTCTGGTTAGGAGTATCAGGATAAAACAAGACAAACAAGACTTTGCTTTTTTTGTTTTTGTTTTTGGTTAATTAAACTTAAGTTAAAACCTTTGACAGTTAAAAAAGATTGCTAAAAATTGTGACGAATATTGTTAACAAAGAAACAAAAAACTAGGTTAGGGTACTATAGTTTACTCTTTGTCTTTTACATATTTGGGGGATTAAGATGCGGACCTGAACAGGCCTTCATTTTGTGAATGTTTTGTTTCAGTCCGGGTTTGTGGGATTGAGTGTGAGTGAGGGACAGTAGCCTACAACGACTAGCTGTTCTGAAATTTCTTTTTTAATATGCAAATCTTCTAGCATAGTTCAGGAAAATAAACAAGGTGTTATGACCACAAAAGTTACTACTATTTTCATTGGAGAATTGTGTAAAACAGCACATTCGAAAATGGGATTATTGCTTTTCTTTGTGTTTGACTGTAACCAGCTCAGTGAACACAGCTCACACTCTTGACGCTTGTGAACAGCTAAAAAGAAAAATATTAAATCCTATTTCCCTTTATATGAATTTTGCAAAGCACCTGAAAACATAAAGAATCGATAAAGTAAAGACCTAACCCCTTCCTTCTCTCTTCACATTCATCTACAGAGCAGACAGGCACAATAAGACTGCTCTTTCAGCATTGAGCCTTCGCTACATAGCACCATAATTATACTGATAACATACATACATAAATGCATTCAACCTCTCACTCGGCACAGCGCACTGGCTGTGATTTCTTAATCTTCTTTCTTCCACTCTTCTCCTCCGCGCGCTTGTCTTCTTTTTTATTCTTTTTATTCCTCCCCCTACGACTGCCATTATTTTTCATGTATAAGCAGAGAGAGAGGGAGCGCAAGAGAGCAGAGAGGAGCAAAAAGACATGATGGAGGAAAAGAGTGGGAGACGAGACTAGGACGGAGAATGGAAAGAGATCTTTTGGCACTTAAACTCTTTTACTTAATGGCACTCAGAGGGATTGACGGTCGAAAGGAGGGGGCACAAAAGAGCATAAAGACTGAAAAAGGAGAGATTAAATCATCACCATCACATCATCAACTTAAATGGGTCTACTCACTTTATCCGTCACCACTGTTTTCATTCTTTCAGCAGGAACATAGACAATCCTGTGTGATCCCTTTCCTTCCCATCACTCTTCCTCACATTTACAGTCACTTACAGTCACTTATTTCTAACTTCTTTCTCTCTCTCTATTGAGTTTTTTATTCCCTTTTACCAGTTTCCTCTGTCTAGATTTGCTTCCACACCATTTTCACAATGTTCCTCTTATTCCAAAGTAAAGGGCCACATTGAAATCAGATAAATGGATTTATAGACATTGGTGAATAGCTCAAAGGCACACTTAATGGTCTCACTGAATTAAAGGAAGCTTCAGAAAGGGGAAGGCAAAAGAGGTAGATTAAAAAGAGTGTGAAGAAAGTGTGAAAAGGCCATGTCAAAAGCTTCATGCAGGTTTATAGGTAAAAAAAAAAGAAGAAAGAAAGGTGTGTGAAAAGCATTAGAGCATCGACCAAGTCAAATGGGCATGTGCTGCTTCAGTATCGTTGGTCACTGCAGCCTCTGCAACTTCTCACATTTTGTCCTGTGTTTTTCTTTTTTCGTCTCTCCACCTGAACAGCTTTCCATTCTCTGCCCAGGCACTGTGTGTGTTTTATGGGTCCCTGTAGGATGGGGATCTTTTACAGGCCGACTGGACTTTAGAAGCCCCTCGTTTAGCAGCATCCAGCCTTAATTAAAAACCCCTTTTGTGCTCTCTGCCTTCAACAATGAAAAGGGAGTGATGGGAGGGAGGGTAGGGCTGGACAGACAGAGAGTAGTAAGGCAAAGAGGAAAAAAAAAGATAGGGCAGAGATATAAGAAGAGAGAGAAAGTGAGATGACAGTGAATAGGAAGTGATAGGGAGACGGTCAGATAGATAGTATGGTAGACAAAGAAAGGGATAGAGAGATATGGACTTAGAGAGGATAGCTGTTAATTACAACTGCCATTAACAAGACACTACCCAACCTCCGTAGGGAGGGAAAGAAAGCAGGAGAAGTGACAGGAAAAAGAGGGGGGAGCAGAACAAAAGGAGAGGACTACTATCATAAACTGGCACTGCTTTGACATTTAGCCATTTTCAACACCGGCTCTTTTCTAATGGGTGGCATCCATCGATTTCTAAAACTTTTTATCTATGAACGTGATCGCGTATGATTCATCTTTGTGTGCGTGCACTGTCTTTGGGATGACTGAGCGGCAGAGGAGCTGTTTACTGATTACCTTCATGTTGAACAAGCTGCTATTGACCAGAGAGTGACGGATGACCTCGGCCCCGAGCATGCGAATGTCATTGTGTGGCTATGTGCTACCGTAGATACCTCCCTGCTGATCCCTCACAGTGGAGAAACATTCCTTTTCTATAAGTATCTTAATTCTCTCTACACAATTGTTGTCTTGTCAATTATTGCTTTTTGTTTTTTTTGTTCAATGCTCCCCAAGTTTAAGGGCAAAATCAGTCCTATGATGAAATATGCCGGATATATCAGGATTAATCACTGCTATGACAGAATCTTTGAATATTACTTTTTTTCTCACTTACTTGTGCCTTTTGACATATAAAATGACACATTTCTGATTGTGTTTTCCTTCATCTTTGTGTTTTCTTTTCTTGCCTCACTCCCTCAGGCTTCTCTGCAGAATGTCCAGTAAGGAGCGTCACCTTGATTCCAGTTGTCCATCCTCTTATATAAAGACTGAGCCATCGAGTCCTGCCTCCCTGACTGACAGTCTAAACCATCACTCCCCTGGTGGCTCCAGTGACGCCTCAGGCTCATATTCTTCCACAATGAACGGCCACCCTAACGGCTTAGACTCCCCAAGCCTTTATGGTTCCAACGCTGGACCCCTGGGACCTGCTGGTGGTCCTGGTTCAAAGCGTTATGAGGACTGTTCATCAACGATCGGGGAAGATTCACAAATCAAGTGCGAATACATGTTGAATTCCATGCCCAAGAGGTTGTGTCTGGTCTGCGGAGACATTGCGTCAGGGTACCACTATGGAGTGGCCTCATGTGAGGCCTGCAAGGCCTTCTTCAAACGCACTATTCAAGGTTGGCTTCCATTTTGTGTTTACTATTATCTCTCTTTATGTTTTCTTTGAATGTTGTTTCCTTCTGCTTTACCGATATATGGTTTTCAGTATTTTGGTTTTTTCATGTTTTTATTTTAATTTTTAGAATTTGTGTGATACAAAATGAGGGCTCTGTTTCAAAATAGTTCTAGCTGAAAATCTGAATATTATGACAATTTGATTGATTAGACTGAGAGGGAGGCCTTGCGTCTTTAAAATCATTAGAAATTCTGCAGGCACCGAATTAACTCATATAAGTTCAATTGTGCCTTTTTTTTCAATGAATCTAAGAAAGTAAATGAAAAACTATCTCTTGTTTTTGTAGCAAAATCAAGGACATATAATCAAAGCCTCAGCCCATCTGTAAACCTAGATTTTTAGACTGTATGTCTCCCCTTCTCTCTGATAGTGAGCCATCGGGACACCTGCACAGTCCACATCCGTTGCTATTCATTTTCCAATATCCACACACATATATAGAGATGCTCATAAACAGAAATTCAATCATAAACAAGCATGCACACCAACTCTAAAACACCACCACCCATTTTTACCCACAACCTTGACCTCTTCCTGATTGACACCGAAAACAATTTCCTGGGAGTGTTTGTAGTCCCAGAACTAGCTGCTTATGCGAGAAAAGTGTTCCCAGTAAGCTTGTTTTCCAGGAGATAACATAGTGTCACAGTAAGGGCAGGGGTCATGTCTTCTGGTCAAGAGTTCATGCAAGGGGGTAAAGAGGAGTAGGGGATAGAGCAATAATCCACATGATGAGAGGCACACTAGGAATTAGGCTCTGTAATCCTTTGCATATGTCTTGTTTGGGGCAGGCATTAGTGCGGGAGGTGCACAGGTATACAGACCTTAGGCAACAGATTCATTGAAAACTCATCTCTCAACTTGAACTCCATCACATTTTCAACACAAAGGCCAGTTTGTCAGTTTGTTGTAAATAGGGTCAAACTTAAAAACACAATGAACATACATGATTTCACAATTTTAGCATGACATTTTAAAATAAGACAATGGAATTAACCAATTAAGTTCTGATGAAAACTTAACATTCAGAATTAAAAGCTTTTCTATGATTTGAGCTATGTTTAAAAAGAAATCACCATTTGGTCCCATCAGTGAGCCGGAAGGCCTTCTTGATGCTCAGACTGCCACCACAATAACCAAGATACCAGTCAGCTAGCCACCTGTCATCGATCCACTGAGTCAGTCAGTCATATCAGACAGGATTCATCTATCTACTTTTCAATCCATCCACCTATCTGTTCTTGCTTTCTTTTACCTCTGATAAGCAGCTTTCCGTGTAAACCCCCAGAGACAGAAAGAGACAGGAAGACGTAGGCAGGAGCAAGTCTTATATTTACTTGATGGCCACCACTACCTAGAGATGACCTGTATGTGTTCATTATGGGATGAAATCAGAGCAGGGAGCAATCCTGACCCATAGATTTGAGCACACGTGTGAAAAGATAAAGGCAGAAAAAAAATGTGTACACACACAAACTCAGATACACGTATCGAGATGCACATTCATGCCATTGTCATTGACAATGACATCTTGAATAGACAGTGACACACAAGACCCTATAATAATTCTTCAAATACATTTAACCTTTATTGCTGTTGTGTCATTTCATTTATAGGGCTTGGTAAAGATTATATACAGTAGGTCAGGGTACAGTTTCAGACTGAATACAGTGTCTCTATTCACTATGTTGACGGCAGATCCTCTTTTGAGTCTGAACATGAAAAGCTGTGAAGTCACATTCAGTCCTTCACTTAAGTGCTTTCAATTTCATTTTGGCTGTAATCCGTCAACCTTCTGTTGTGGAAATGTTGCATTTAGGCAGTGCAAAAGGTTATGGGTCAAGACCTTGCCAATGCATGTCACAGGATCATTGTCAGAGAAGGTTGCAATTAAAATCATCAACAGTATTTTCTATATGGGAGGCCATAAAGAAAAAATGAATGCACCACATATCCATATAAATGAAAATGTGTTTATTTCAAATCTGATATTCATTCTTACAATACATAACATAAGTTGAGGTGGAGGTTATTTGTGTATCTGTTCATATGGAACAGAGTGTCTCATGTAGAGTATCTCTGTGTGTAGGCCCTTTGAAATAGACAAAGTCAGCAGGGTTGAATAGAGAAAATTGCAAGACACACTAATCCCTGCTTTGGTGCCTCATAAACAGTGCAGTTATTCTCCTCCTCACCATTCAATCCTCTTCACTACCAGTGGTTCAAACCATATTTTGTACCAACAGGAATATATTTTGGCATGATGGCCTTGTGCACTGGCTTTTGTTTGTTAGTGCTGGGGAACAGGCCATTCGGTCCATCTTTGGACTGATGGAAAACAAGAAATGTTTATTACCAAAATCAGCAGAAATTCCATTTTAATCTAACTTGGAGACTGTTTCATCGCCTGGTCCCTGCCATGATATTACTGTTAATGATTGTTCAGAGGCAGACAGTTCCTCTTTGGATCCACTGGAACAAATGGATCATGACATTATATTTGGCCTTCCCACACAGCTCAAATCATCTCCACTGTGTGTGTCTATGTGTGGGCTGTGTCCATGTGTTCATCCAAATTTAAATGAACCAAAGTTTATGTCCACATCTGAGCACATGCTCCTGTTGTGTATGTGTTGGCATGTGTGTCCTGGCAGGAAAGCAGGGCCAGTCTCAGATGGCCAGCGGCAGACATATTGGTATGTTTCAACCCATTAGCCAATAAAACCACAGGTAATCACCAAAAAAACACCTCCAGCTGGACAGGGAGGAGAGCATGGGGTAGGAGAGGAGAGGAAAGGAAGGGGGAGGGATACAAATGTGCATGTAGACAATGAGTGGGAATAAGGAATGAGAGGAAGGGGAAAGGTGGCAGAAGATGGACTGGGCACATGAATGTAAGAAGAAATGAGTGGTTGGGGTCCACTGGCATGTTTTTGGATTTGTGTGTGTCACACTGTGGAGGAAGTGACTCTGGCAGCTGCTGTTTCTGTGGCGTGAGTCCAGCCACACCTGACAACCTGCATCTATCACTCCCTTATTGAGAAAGTGGGATAAAGGGGATGGTGAGGAAGGGCAAAGGATGGGAGACAGAAGCTCTGAAAATGACAAGAAAGAGATAGCAAAAAATAAAAAGAAAGGTGGATGTTGGCAAGAAGGAGCAATGTGGAAAAAGCATGGTAGAAATAATAACAAAATGGTCTGCATACCTAAAGTTATTCTCTTTTTCCATATGTTTAAACTGTAGAAGTTAAACTTCTGTCTTTATGTCAAGTGGATTTAATGTATCACCAACAATTCTTTATAAATATTACTTTCCTAAGACACCAAAACTAAAAGCATATAGAAATGAAAAACATTTAGAAATGGGAAGTTTAGGATTGTGAAAGGTAGAAAAAAGACACAGCTTAAAAGAAAATGGCAGGCGAAAGCAAGGCAACTTTCAAATGACAAGGTAGAGTAATACGAACAGTTGTGGTCAATTGTCATGCCGAAGGTAGACATATTCTCATCTCAAAAGAGATTGTGGGGGATTTGAGGCCCTTCTATATCCCCCTCATTCACACATGCACACATATGCAGACCTACCCATTACACAGGAGCCTTCAAGAACTATGAAATTGAAATGTAATGCCGTCCACTCCAGTTTCTATACATAGTCCTACTGGGAAGCAAATGGTGCATGTTGGAATTTGTACATGTACAGTGTTCAGTCAGCTAACACATAGGTTGCATATTTCCACATCACATTTTATGATGTGTAGGCCTAATTTTGTTCAATACAACATCCTTTTCACAGGCATCGTCATATTAAGTTCCTCTGCACAGCCTATCATGGCAGAAAGAATTTTTTGTGAACTGAAGTGTCATAAACATTGTTATTTTTCTCATAGGTGTTACTGAAACAATGAATAAAATATATTATTACCATTGCTTTGTTTACATAATAGCACAAGTCACAATTTTTTCCAAACAGTAATTCTTATAATGAGGGTTTAACATTCAACATTTACTCACATTTTTCTGGCCCTAAAAGTGGCTCTTCATTGCAGGCAAGCAAGGCTTGTATTTGTCTTTTAAATAACAAGGTCTTGACTGACTGCCCATTAAGTCATGCAGATTCTGTGTCATTAGCCCATGTAGCGTTATTGCGAGGGATGTGTCCCACTTAGCTGAAGAATTAATCTGCTCCTCCTGTATCATCAGCATGTGAAAGCTAACTAGTCCCACTAGTTGGGTCCATTAGAATGTAAGAGGTTCCCTGAGCATTTAGCATGTTTAGCCTTTACTTTAACCAACAAGGTCAATTAACGGATTTCTTGTTACCCATTAAGAAGCATTTGAGCATTTAGCCTTTTCCCAAGCTAACTAGCTCCTTAATCAGTGCAGTAATGAGAAAACATCCTCTCCACAGTAGCAGTCAATAGTAATCACTGTTTACTCTCTTTCGGTGGGAGATGTATTGGCCTGCTGGGATACTGTAGTTATGTGAGCATTGGTAGGAAAAAGAGCTTTTTTGGGTGTTTTTTTAGATCCAAGGATGGTTATTGATGTAGATACCCACCTCATTTCAATGGTGAAGTTATGTCTGTTCTAGCAAATCTATAACCTTGCTTGATGTTACCAATTAGATGAAAGCAATTACAATTGAGCTGTAAAAGAAGACATAGAGAGCACAGTGTGTGGTAATATACATCAGATATTTAGACTTACATTTAGTAAAAGTAGCAATCCTGAAACATATAAAAAAAGGACACTACTTTATACTATGCTTAAAACAGAGGGATGAAGATTCCAATGAATGTATTTGACTCACAGTTAAATGATATGTTTGAGAGGTCCAGATTTAAAAACAATGACAGATGCAGTAGGAAGAAATTCTAATTAAAGGTAAAACTGGCATTAGATTGACACTTAACAAGTTGTTTTTATTGGCCAAGATTGTGAAGTTAATACCCTCAGCTTTGCTACAGCTTTGCATCTGAGTGTCACCTCCTGTCCTGCAGTCACGCAGTCTCAGCTGTTGCACATGTATGTAGCGTGCATTCTTAAGTTACCTTAGAAGATACATTCGAATTGCAAAAAACTAAATGTCTACTACTGGTACTGTCTTAGACCTAATAGATTTTTTGAGATTTTTAGAGATGATTCCGATGCCAGGGGTGTGATGAAGTCCGGATCATTGTCTGTACTCATTAATTCAGCGCTTCTCTCATTTAATTTTTTTTCTTGATTAATGCAATAAAACAAAATAAACCTGCCTTTCTTTTGATGTATCTACTTGAAATTGAATATTTCCTTTTGTCTTCCTCCAACATGTCAACGTGCCACAGGCAACATTGAGTACAGCTGTCCAGCCACCAATGAGTGTGAGATCACCAAGAGGAGACGCAAGTCATGCCAGGCCTGCCGCTTCATGAAGTGTCTGACTGTCGGCATGCTGAGGGAGGGTAAGGGAAAAGGTCTCTTCTAACTTTCTCTGTTAACTGTGGGACATATGGCATTTTAAAGTCTGTTACTCAAGCTTAATTTCAAACAGACCAGACTCAAGAACCCCTATGACCCTCAATAAAGTTTCCCTCAGTTTGAAATGATCACACAAACATGCCAGATTGAATACAACTGAGGCATATTTTCCATGGAGGTGTGGTAAAAGTGGTTTTAGTGTTTTTAAAAAGACATTGTAAAAAAAAGTATTTCAATATCTTTATATATAATTAATAATATATAATTATATGAATACCGATTCTGGACGATGCTACATGTGACATGCATAAGATGTTGGTGGAATTTGCAGTAGAATTCACTTGAATTTTTATTGCTCTGGATTGTAAGTCATGAGCCAATGCAACATGAGAATATCCGTCGTCTTGTAAGGAGAAAGGTCCATTTTACTAGACCTAAATTAGTTAGATAGAAGAAAACGGCAGACTCACTCAGCAGTTGTTCGATGACTAAGCAAGCTAAAAAGAAAACAAGGGAAATCATCTGGCCCCATACCACTTTGATTAAATATACTCACTCTCTCGTTTTCACACTCCCTCGTTGCCTTTTGCTTCTTTAGTTCCCTCCTGTCTTCCCACCTTTGACCTTTCTACTCCCACTGCACTTCCAACGATGAAAGGAGGTAGAGGAGTGGCAAGGGATGAAGAGGAGGGTAGATGGAGGGAGGGGCAGGTGGGAGAAGCTTAGTGGTAT